ACCCGACCCGACCAGATTCCCCCAATGGGCACCCCGTATTAGACAACCGGACTCGTAATTGTGAGATTGCGGGTTCGGGGGTTCGAGCATCAGCTCGATCGGTCCGACTTTGTGTCCTTGGGAAAGGCACTTCAAACGGAATTCCTCATTTGGCTCGACCCTTTCGGAGATGGACGTTAAACTCGGAGGTCCCGCCTCTTGAATAACCTACTAGTGTTGATAGGAGCGTTAATCCTGTACCTTCTCACGATTTTCAGCGTCACCAATAAAGGGCGCAAGGTCAAAATAATGACATTCATTCCCGGCTATATTTTGTTGAAACGTTTTATTTTATAAATTTTTTTGTAGTTACGTGTACGTGTGGCCTGTGTAAGATTATGTCGTTTATCGCGAGCGGCCTTATTCTTTTCCTTAAAAAAATATAATAGCGTACCTTTATCACGCAGTGTTTATTCGCAGCATTGCATGTTGTTTAGCCAGCATTTGATAGGTGGAGTGCGAGAGAGAGACAGGGGGTGAACAGAGAGACCGAGAAAGACGTACATAGAGACACAGACAAGGATAGACAGAGAGAAATAGAGATAGAATCAGAGAGAGTTGGGAACGAGAGAGAGACGAACAGAGAGACAGAGCATAGATAGGCAGACAGACAGACAGACAGACAGACAGACAGACAGACAGACAGACAGACAGACAGACAAACAGAGCATTGATAGACCGAGAAAGCGTGGGGTGGGGTGTGGAGGGGTGATTTCCTCGAAAAAGGATTGACAATTACCAGCCAAGACAAACGTGTGTGTTTATTTTTGTGTGCGACTCAAATGGTTCATTTGGCGAAACAACAGGGGCGGTCTGTGATGTGGGGAAGGGGGAATGGGGGGTTGGCGGGTGCTCTGGTGTGGTTTGCTTCTTCTTTCCTATCAAACATCTATAGTCCAGATCTCCCCTCCTTCTCTTTTTGTGTTTGTTACTCTCTTGTAACACCTCTAATCTTCGGCACCTATATGACCTTATTGTGTTACAAGTGCCGTAAAACTCTTACAAAAACTTTTTAAAAAGGGGGAAGGGCGGAAAGGT